ACAAACATCATGGAGAATGATCAAGCGAACACGTCGAAACAACCCCCCAAGAAGCATACATGCATGGTTCATAATGACTAGCCATGAATCAATGTGGGTTAGCTTGGCTTTTGACTCAAGTTGCAAGCGATCTCATGGTTCACACGGGGCTTCAAAGACCAAACCAAGTGGATCTCAGCCTAATTTGTACACCCATATAACATTCATCAAGCTCACGAAGGTAGAAAACGCATGCAAAGAGGAGTAGCAAGTCAAACATTTAGGGCTCATGAAGGAGCTCTAACACTTGGAAAAATTCCAGCCTCAGAAATCAGTTCTCTGGGCTGGTTTTCTCTTGATTTTTTCATAACTAAAACATATTCAAAATTGAACAAAAATACATGTAGGATACTCACCTTGCTTCCTAGTTTCTCTTTGAAGTATCCCTTGGCCGAGGGAACCAAAAACCTGTCTTCCAAGGGCGCGGGGAACTAGGCTTCTTCAAACTGGAAAATGAGATCTGCAAAGAAGGAACTGACAACGAAGGTTTTTGTTGGTCTCCAAAACCAGAATCAACGACCTCCTTTTCTGACTAATTTGACACTAACCCAAACTAGATGTATTCTAGTTTAATTTTCAAGTCACATGTATCCTCATATATTCCTCATGTCTCTCAAAAACTCCCACTTTCCCTCACCAGTAACCGTCTGACTTCAACACTTAGAAGATTTCTGGGTTTCTCTCTTGACCCGAGAATGGGCTGCTTTTCGAGGGGATTTTGGGTGGCTTCCCGACATCCATTTGGGGCGTGCGACCTATGGTTGGAAATCTCTTTGAATGTAGTTCCACTCTCTAGTTGAAGGTTTTGGCTAATTTTGGCTCGAAGTTCACGAAAATCTCACTTTCCTCTCCAAAAGTCAGTCTGGAACTTTTCTGGGTTTATGTTTTTTTTTTAGTTGCGTCTGAGGGTGAGTTTTTGGAACGACCGTCAACTCCCTTCCTCTTGTCTCATCCCTTTATTTTTATCCCCCAAAATAACGTGCTTCAGAGATCCTATCCATCAAATCCAACCCGATTTTTAGCCCGTGATTGCCCACTTACCAAGCCTACAAACTGAGTCTCTTCACCAACTTTCTGACTCCAAAATCATCATAATTTGCAGCTGTTGAGTGAGCAGGTTTGACTGAGATTATCACGTGTCTTCAGCAGCTTATCCCTGGCAAATTTTTGTCCATTTGCACTCCTAATGATGGTCTCACACCTCGGCCAGAGTTCACGCTGATTGGCTGGCTGAGTAGGATATGGTGGGGCCACAAATTTGGCTACTCAGCAGCCTCGAATTGAGACCAAATCGTGGACCGGTTTTTGGAAGCTAATTTAAGTGCTTTAATCCATTCATTTGGTCGGAATTTTTGATCAGTTTGAAAGTTGAAGTATATTAGTTTAAGATGATAATCAGAATTTGCAATTTTCCATGCCCAAGTTTGCAGGAAAGTCCCTCAAAATTAGCCACTTTCTTGTCCGAGAATGCCCGATTTGAGCCAATTTAGTCCTTTTGGCTTGATCTGATCAATTTTACCTTGCCCGTTTTCAATTTCAAGCTTGATTAGGGGTAAAAATGATGATTTAAGGGCTTGGGGGCAAATTTTACAAATTTTGCGATTTGGTCCCCCAACTTTTGGAAATTGTATTTTGGCCCCAACTTGCTGGTTCATTTGCAATTTGATCCCTCAGGTCTCGGTTAGCTACACTCGAATCCTTGGCCCTTGCTCTTCCGTTTTTTTTTTTTTTTTTTTTTTAGAATAATTCCAAAATATTTTTGTGGAAAAACAAGCTCCAATTTTTTTTTAAAATGATTTTTGGGCAAAAAATTTAGGTGTCAACAATGAGGTATCGAGCTTCGAAAGCCCGTTCGACTTCAAGCTCATCTTCTTTGAAAGAGTTTTCAAAAAAAAAGATGGACTTGCATCCGGTAATTCATGTTTCATCCCGAGTCTCCGGTTTCTCATTGTGAAGATAATGTTTTAGTAGATGAAATTTCATTAAGCCGTTAAATCTCATGTTTGAGGAGAAACCAATTATTGGTTTCTCTAGGGTTTCGCCGGAATCATTGAAGTTTGGAATGATAGTTTGGAGAACGTGGCTAATTCTTTCGTCTCGAAAGTAGAAGGGAAGAAAGTGAAAATGCTTTTTTGTCAATACAAGTTTTGTCTATTTTTCCTGCATGCCAACTGTTTAATAGTATTCTTGAGTATGAATGCATGGAGAATAACTTTAGGACGAGAGTGAAAATGAGCCAGGCACTGAGGATATGGTAGGTGCTGCTAACTTGATGGTTTTGACACTGTTTGTGCTTTGTAGGCTGAAATACCTCGAGAATCTAATCTTTCAAAGTTTAAGTTTGAAGTATGGAGTTGAGAGGAATGGATTGTCTGTATTTCTACCACCCTTTCCTTCTATTAATCTCTGCCTTCATTTTGTGCTATGTCTAATTAGCAATTAGCAACGCATTTTTTTCATCACCCTTCGTATGGTAGGCAAATTGAAAAGTCATATAAGTAGTTAGTTTTTCAAATTCTTTTCCTTGAATGTTTTTGTCAGGAGAATCCATTCTTTATCATCTATAGTGGCATCACTTAACACATGAGTATCCCTATGTTCAAAAGTAAATTGTCTTGCTATGAAGTAGACGATATCGTGCCATGACTAACTTTTTCTAACATTCAATGCAGGAACATGAGGCTGGAATTTCTCTTGATGAATTTGAATGTAGGATGGAAAAACTTTGTAAGCAGATGGATTCTGATGTTGCCGAATTTGTTGCTCTTATGAAGAAGTCGAAAAGGGAAATGAAGGACTTCTACGATCCCAATTTGTAGCAACAGATAAGTACCTGCGGAAGCTAGCCATTGGCACTGTCGTCTGCGTTAATGGTGCTTTTATTTTTGCTGCTTCCACACGACAGTCCGTAAAGGAGGATCATGGACCGTCACCCTAGAAGGTACGGATGGATGGCAATCCTGTGTTAGTATATGGCACTGGATAGATTTGACGGATTTGGTAGTGTGGGGGGCCATCGTTACGATAATTTGGAGCTTTTACTTCTCGTGTTGCACTGTGCACTTTTATTAGTAACCGTTATGTATTGAATCTTCATCTGGAATCTTATATGAACTTTAAGATCAAAATGGGTGTTAAATAATCCGCACCGAGGTGATCAGTGTCATCGGCATAGGTGCGGAGTTGCTGAAAATTTGTTGTGGTGGCCCATCATGATTATTATTATTGTTTGTTGGTCTGATACTTTGCACTTCTTGTAGAATAACTCTTTTCTCGTTTTGGCATGGCGGCTTGCAAGCTTGAGCGGTGAGGTCTGTCATTGGCGGGGCTTCGGACGATAGATAGGCTTGTGGTAAGAGTGATTGGTGAGGGAAGGCCTGGCTATTCGGCCGTAATTTTGAGAAGCACGGCCAAGCCTGTCCACGGATGACCTACGGGGATCTATGGATGAGTCTGAGCTAAAAAGTCCGAAGGAGAATAACGTACATTCAGAATGCATTTAACTTTGGTAGAAAGATCTTTCTCGATAAAGTACTAGTCAATCTTTACGGAACTCCTCATATGAACTTGGATTGTACTTCTTCTTCTTCTTTTTTTTTTGGCCCAATGGATTGTACTTCTCTGTGCTTGGGGATGGATCGTTTAGCTAGTATTAATGGAAAAGTGAAGTGTGTACGCAAATGAATTCTACAAGCTCATTGAAAATGCTAAGTATGGATGCTTAGACCAATTTACGAAATTGGCCCCTATTGAGCATAAATATAATATCATGTACTTATTTAAATGAATACTCATAGGTTGTTGCATTGACTTGTAGTTCGATTTAATAAAATAAGTTTTATGTAGCTATTATAAGCGGCCTTGTGTCAAGCTCATTATTGTAGAATGAATATCGACTACCCTAATTATACTAATCTGAATATCTTAAAAATGAGGTATGGCAGGTGGAAATGTTTCTTAAGCAGATCTTTAAAAAAGTATTTATTACATGAGACCTATTTTTTTCACTTGCAAAATACCCAATTCTTTAATAAAGCTTAACTTAGCATCGTAACCATACATTTGATATATTTTTTTTTAGCCAACCACAGTTTGCAATTCGATCTGTTGCAATTAATGCTAACTTAACCATATATGCACCGAATTATCAAGTGTAAGGAGTTCGCTTTTTTTTAAAATTCTTTTTTCCAACTGACCTCATCAACAAGAGGTGAGAGAGAGGCTGTGTTCGAGAGAGGAGAGGGGAGGCAAGAGGGGAGAGAGAGGCTATTTTTCCAATTTAGGGTTTGGGTTTTACGTTTCAAATAGCCGCTCTCCGAAAATAAATAATTTTAACATACTTTTTAAAATAATTTGTTATATCATTTGAAATAATTAACAAAAGAAAGTATTCATTATTGATAACAATTTATATCTATACTTCATTGTGGACCATAAAAATGTTGTCGTTCAGGTATTTTTATAATTAATATATAACGTGTTAAAGTGGCTAGTTTGTGCTTTCAATTTTAATTTGATAATTCCATGTTCATTTTCATAGAAATCTCCATAATTCACTCACAAAATTATTTGCTTTTAAATGAGAAACAATGTCCAATATAAAACAAATGATACTATTTAATTCTCAATCTATACATTTACAATCTATTTTTATAAGAAAAAGATATTATTTAGTATATCGCAGATTATGGATCATTGTGAACTTTGGATTTATTAATTTCATTTTCTGACGGTTCATTGTGAATTTGTCCAAAATGAAGAATGCACGTGAGCGAAAAGCGAACAAAAAGCTCCCCGTTTGGGTGAAATATATATTTATATATGTAAGAAAAAAAATTATTAGGAAGAGAAAAATCAAATATATGGAAAATTTGAAAGCCGACCTCAGATAATGGAACTTGCTATATACATAACGAATGAAGAACTGGAGTGATGATTCAATGCGCGAAAGTACCAATAGATGAAAAAAAATAAGCCTGCCCGTGAAAGTCTGATTTCAAATGGCGAATGTATGCTTGGGAGGGTCTTTGCTGTAAAAGAATGAATAAGTGAATCACACATTCTGGATTTCTAGGTTGAAGGAATAGCTCGAGTGAATCGGAAGTCGGTCTGCCTGCACGGCTACCCACTTGTATACGAGCACCACATAAAATGCATGCATATACCAGGGGGTTATACGTATATATGTAACTCCGCACTCAAGGCAGCATGTTTGTGTACTAACCAACTGGAAAACGTAATGCCCCGACTATTATCGTGGAGTAAGAGATATGGAGCGTGCAGCGCTACTAAGCTGCTAAAACATATGGAAGGTACACAAAGGGAAATCGAAAAGCAGCATTCACTTCATTTTCTTGCGTACTTCATAGAAGTAGCTCAAGATCACCACAGCCGCAGCCACTGCCACTCCAACAGCCCCTTGTGCCAATACGGCACCATTCGCTACTGCCTTGCTGCCTGAAGAACTTGGCGTGAACCCCAGTTCAGAGAGCTTCTTATGCGAGATTGCATAATCCCTGAAAAATACATCCTCATCCTGCCACATGCTTGACAACATTAGGGAAAGAAGAGAGTACAGCAAAACAAAACAAAGAACAAGAGAAGCAGAGTAGCAAATTGTGCGATTGTCTCTTTCAAGGTCGTGCCAACCACCGTGAGAGAGTTGCGGGAACAACCACCAATTCAAATATCATATCAGGTGTTCCCGGTTGCATACAGATGATGCTCTAGCCTAGAGGTTTCAGGGAACCACGTAATTATATCTATCCCAACACATGTATACATCTACCCAAAGTCTGACGTGCGGTCTCATTAAGAAGATTTCCTGGTCTCTGAATAGACAATGGTGATGGAACAGACTGGATACTTCCTAGGTAGCATCACAAGCCTATGCAGCACAAATTCCATCAAAAGCACTTTCCATCTCTTTTCGGTCTCCGCAAAACCAAGGACAGTAGCATCAAAGGGTTGTAGACCGTGTGCATAAGGAAACTATATGTTGGTGCAGGCGGGCAGCCAAAGTTTTAGTTTCATCAAAACCAAATTTAGAAAAGGAAACCATGCAACTGCATTTCGATTTTATTGATTTATTGATGAAGTCACCATAATACTCGAAAAGCCTGTATTACCTTGGCATACAACTCAACATAAGGACGAAACGCAGGATCTTCCAACAATGCCTTGTCAGTTGGCAGTTTCAGCAGCCCCTCTGATTCCCCTTTCAACAACTCGCTGTGTCAAAATGATCAATTAGTATCTGGCTCTATAATGCTCCAAATGAAACTTAGAAAATGCATCCGGTGAAAAGATGAAATCTTACACAAAATAGGAATTATCAAACTTAAGGGGTTCCTGAGTCCAAGGACCATCAAATCCAGATCTTTCCGGGTGTGCCCTTCCCTAGAAACAAGAATAAAAAAAATAACAAATTCGGTTGTGCATCCCCAGCTGACCTTGAATGTAAATCCAAGCAGAAATAGAAATTACCAATGTATGAGCCCCTGATAAGGCCACTATGTCCTTATCTGAGAGACCCATCCTGTAAAAGATGTCCCTTAGATGTGAAGGACCTACATCCAGCAATGACAAGTTTAGAAAAACTTTCGAATACCCTTTTAAGCAAAATGTACATGTATTTCACCAGTAAGAGAATTATAATGCATAAAATCTCCTCTGGATTTAGAGCTATGATAAGATTGGGTAGGCAGCGGAGAGTTAAACATGAATATTACAAATCAATAAGCTTAACTAAGCTGCTGTTGAAAGCCTCCTTTCATTTGAGTCTCCTTTCACTCAGCTAGAGTGAATTGCAGATGTAAAATATCATGTGAAATATCAAACTGGGTTTGCATGAGTAGTAATATTGTTCTCAAGTATAATCATACATCTATTAACCACGTGCTTATAATGAGTCTCATACACATATAGTCTCTCTCACCTAATGGCTCAAGTTTTCTTATTTACGTGTTGTCTCTCTCCATATCATGGCTTAAGCTTATAGGTTGGATATTTTAGCACTGTTTCAGATGACAGATCAAGAGTTCATTTCCCAGCACTTTTCTTTCAACTCATTCCTCGTGGTGGGTCCTTAATGGCTGACTCATACGAAATAGGCACTGTGCCCATTTTGCATGTGGGGCTCTTAATCTGGAAACTTACTAACTGACATTCAGATGAGATGGACAACATCTGACTGTCGGTTAGCTCCGATACCTTGTATTCACTGTGCTTCTTATCTTATTCAAATCATTCCCCTGGAAACTTACTAATTGACATTCAGATGAGATGGACATACATTTCGAGATTAACAGGCAGCAATCCTTAAGGAAAACAATAAATAGCTATTTAACGTTTTGCCTGGAGCAATAAGAAGCACAGTGGCCCACAATATTTGGAGGGAGGGATGGAGGGAAATGAAGGGAGGCCAGACAACAAAGGGAAAGTTGACACAACAAAATACCTTGATTAGCATCTGGAAGTCTTCCTTCGTTTGGAGAAACTTTTGAATCCTGCAGGTAGAAAACAACTTAATGAATAAGGCACTTGTAAGAATTATCTTGCTCACATACAGCTAAAACAAAGTACCTTTCTTCCAGGAACAAAGTCAACAGTGGGACCTCCAGTGACTTCTGCTGCAACAACTCCTGCTAGCTGAAACAGGCATTTCGCTCATAATGATCAATACTTGCAAATTGATAAATCATTTTTAATAGTAACCTCTAGAATCGATCAGCTATATATAACATTATCCAACCGCTAATCAACCAAGAACAACACCAGTTGAACTAGACAGAGGAGATTTCCTATAAGCAACTGAGAACTAAATGCCCAGGGGATTGAAAAGAAGATAGATAAAGATTTGCTCCTAAACCATCTGAATATAGAGAATACGTGGGTTATGCCAATTAAGGGCTTCAATACGTGCATGCATATTAGTTTTAAAGATGTTGCATGCTGGAGGGCATAAAACTTCAAAATTAAATGGCAAGAATTCGAAGTCTTTTTCAAACTAAGCTAGTCATATCAACAAAGATTTCGTCCACCTATTGGGGGAGGGGACTCGTAATATGTAAGAAGGAAGAACAAGTCCTTTAAACAGTCTTTTCACCTGGTATAGATCTGCGTATGTAATCTTCGGACATTTGGACTTCACCTCCTCTGCATCCAACAGAAAAGCAAATGTAAATATACTGACTGAAGTTATATCTCAACTCCATTCGCAAAAGAACTCTATTCATCAAAGCTATGACATTATCCATAATGGGTTCCTACAGTTGTATAGTTGAAACTCTTAGAATCATAACATATCTACAGGTTGACTCATGCAAAACATATGCAACGGTCTTAGGATTTCCTTGGTCGACAATCATGGAAGCATTAGACCGAATACTAAACCACCCATCTTAGCATCTCTCATAAACTGAACATAAGATAATACATATACCTCAACTTTATGAAGACTGTAGGGATTTCTTTAAAGAAAGTATCAATGTCTAAAGCAATAACTATCTTCATGCATTCTATACTGATGAATATTGGAAATATATCTAAACTTGGTTAGATGAACCTAGCACTATGCCACAGGCAAGTAAGAAAAGTAAATCAGAGTATGCAGATTAAGTCCCGTTGATAAGTCCAGGGTATACGGTTAAGCCAATTAAAATTGCAAACGCACTGCTTGGCCCTTCAAGAACTTGTAAGTACATAGCATCATGTTAACAAACTTGTTAACTGTCTTCGACATAACAGACAACATGCGTGCCGCCGCGCGCGCGCAGGCACTAAACATTGTAAGATAACTGATTAAGTCAACCATTGCTCATCAAATAACACAAAACATAAGCAAAAGCGAAAGGCCTCCTACAGCAGCAAATGAAGGACAGCTCGATGCACCTACATCTATTTAGCATCAAATGAGCATGCAACGGGACTTGCACAATCACAACCTACAATCGCATGCTCGTCCTCCAAACTGCCGTCGATGCATGAATAGATGAACTCCAGAAACTACGTCAGGCACGGAATCAAGGCCGCGAAGGCAGAGAAAACCTAGAGGCAGGTAAGCTCAGAAAGAGCAGGGAGCGCGCTCACCACAGAAATCAAGAGCGATCTTCAAGCCAGCATTGGCGCCGTGGGAGTACTCTTCCTTGTTCCGAATCGAGCCGTTCGGACCGGCGGTCTTCGTCCTCGCGTCGTAAGTCCCGGCGTCGTGCCACCTGCAAAGACGAATCGGCCAGAAACCCCGCCGGACGTCAGGAACCGCGGGGGCCAAAAATCCGATCGACGGACTCCCGTCGCCGGCCGATCGAGGCGGGGGAAAAAAAACTTACGCCAGCCGGAGCATGATCGGAGCGCAGTTCTTGGAGGCGATGAGAGCGCGGAGGTGGCGGCGGGCCTTGTCGATCTCCTTCAGGTACTCCGTGTCGACCACCGGTAGCGCCATCGAAGGCCGAGCTCTGCCTGCGGCGTCTGTGCGGGAGCGAAATGGGAGCGAACGATGGAGGAAGTGAAGGGGTGACTGGTAGAGAGAGCAGGTTCGGAACAGAAGAGATAAACCAATTGGCGATTTTGATTTTTAGCAAATTCGTTTTTATTTTGTTTTTTTCTTTTTTCGGCTAAGAGATAACTGCCCGGGGGGGGGGGAGTTTTCCGGTGTCGCGTGTGCTCCTCGCTCGCGAGGCGGCCACGTGGAGAAAGCGATGAAAAAGAGTCGTCAGATAAGGTCGTCTTTTTTTTTTTTGGGGGGTTTTTTTAAATCTTTTCGGAGGTATTGCACGCACTTCAACGTCCCAACTTCTCACGCGTCATCTTTTATTCTAATGAACCTATTTGTAAAGAGAGAAAGGGCGAGAGGGGCAAAAATAAATAAAAAATAAAAAATAAGAAGATGCAGTGCGATGGGTTACTAATGGAATATTAGATAATTAATCTTGGAGGAGCGACGAAAATAAATATGCGAGATTTATAATTATATCTGCTTCTTGGGACGATTAGACTAGTATATGCGTTAAACGGGCGAATCGGATCGAAAATGGTTTGACTTAAATTGACTCATTTAACCCGTTTGAACCCAATTCATGCAATACAAATTAAATTACTCATATCCGACCTAATCTATATTATTAAAGCACATCCATATATAACTCAATCCATGAAAACCTATAGAACATGGAGTGAACAAATGCGTTATAGAGTTATGGTGAGAGAGAGTTATAGAGGTGAATTGAGTTTGGATATAGATAAATGAACTCATTTAACATCTATAATCCAACAAAAAAAAACAACATCCATATTATGTTTAAACTCATTTATGATTCATTTTTTCACTATAACTAACCTATATAACAACTCCGCCCATCAAATATGAAGTATTAAATGAGTCTATAACCCATTTTGATAGATCTAGTGATTAGGCACGTAGATTGACATAATCAACATGTTATTTATACCCGAGCATTCGGGAGTTTTTGTCAATAATTACGTGACGATGCGTATACATGCACGTCTAAATAGGAAATGACGATAGAGGGCAATGGCACAATAACCTTTGGTGCCAGGTCGTGCCGAAATGGGCGCAGGTGCCAGGTGAGGAGATCCACAAATCGTGGAGAGGCACAAGGGAGGGAGTTTTATCATGAATCGTTTGACCCTGATTTTAGGAGATATCCTGCTGGAGGAGGAATGTCGGAAATGGATAGGAACGGAGGGAGCACATGAACCAGCATCCGGTTCTAGTCTCGCGATTATAGAGTAATCTGGTGGTTGACCATATCCCTGGCGAGAATTCCACAACCGTATCGAGAATGGAGAGAATCATGGACATCAGACAACAAACTATCGATAATTCAAGAGAACGGCACGGTCCAATATCGAATATAAGTCGACAACCGTTTCACCAGGCACATGCAGTATGCCGCCCAGCTGCGACTTCGACGAATCTGTCATGAGGCCTCGGACAAGCACAAAAAACAGCATCGCCATAACAACTTTCTCCTATTTCTTTCCCCCAGGTAACAGCAGAGAACGCCACAGCATAATCTGCGTTTCGCCGGCTAGAAAAGTCCACCTGGTACGGATAGCTAATTTACATTGGAGAAAAGAATGCCGGGCAAGCAAAATCAAAGGTTGCATGTTGTTTGCAGATTTTATTTCTTTGATGTGTATAACAAACAAACAATTCTGTACGGTTTCTATGGTGACTGAAATCGTTTTTGCTGTCATTGTGATTCTGAAGCCAAAGCATATCGAGAACAGAAAACGAACAGCAACTCAGGAAGTCCTCCATTGCATCTCTATTTGGATCCGCCCATTTTTCGAGTCAATAAGATGGTACTTCTCATTGATTCTTTTGTTGCTCACAACATCAGCAAGGCTTATGTCGACATAGCCCAGCGATTCCTGGTAAGAGAAAAGGAAACGAGCAATTCAACCACATTAGCCAGACGATCAAGTTTAGTCACATGTAATAATGATAAATGAAGATCACTGAAGAAATCTGCATAGATACTCCAACTACTTCTATCAAACTAAAGAAAAAAGACAAATATTGTCTCGTGATTTGCATTCAGCTGAGTTACAGACGTTTTTTATTGGTTCCATCAGCATATAAGGCTAGGATGCACAAACTGCATAAAACTCTTCGTTTTTCTAACATAAGCTATCCACTGCCTACAAATGGAAACCTTCTAACAAATTACAAGCCTTTTCTCAACCCAAACATGCAATATGGCTAACTCAGAATAAAAGGAGCATAGCCATGAATTATGCTGTTTCAGACTCCTGATAAATCACTATTACACATTTGTGCAGCTTCCTGGAAAGCATAAGCTGTGGGTGATGCTGGCATTTATTACCTTTAACCGGAGACTTTGAACGGCTCGTGTACTTCCAACCACATATTCAGGTTAGTAATTATACTATTAAGTGATCAATCATCTTACAGAAAGGGCTTTTGCTTCTTCGTTCCTTAGATAATGATCAAAATCATACTTCCAGAAGAGGGTTAAATAACTTCAACAGCATGAGAATCACATACTCCACCATGCTTTTAATGGAAGCTACTCAAACGCTTAAAATCAAGCTCAGATTACAACGGCATCCTCCAATCTTTCAAGATCATGATATGATGCTGACTCGAGACATGCGTTATTCTCATCTCCTATTGCCAATTTTTAGGAGATTGCAACCCCAACTTTAGATATCCTTCAAAGACTAGAAGCACCAGAGCCAGAGATAGGAATTCCATGTCATGATTTGACCAAAGTATAAAATGCCTTGGTAAATGTTTGTAGTCTATATATACCTTAGGATGTAGCAGACCTATCCTTGACGAGGCGCTGAGAACTTCAATATGCATCTTCTCATTGGTAGGAGGTTCATCCAGTGTGAAATGGAACTCCTCCTCCCACCTTGGATCTCTGTTCTTCTTCACGGGCTGTGCAAGTTCCAATTAAAATCAGTATCTATGGACCACACATAGTCGAACATGAACTTTGTAATTCTAAATGGGGACCAGTAAGATTGACAAAACTAATCAAGGCATGAAATATTTTTCCAGTTAATAAGTGCAGCTATGTAGAACTTCATAATTTGTTGCACTGAACAGAAAGGAGTTCTCTGTTCGTGAAGAGAGTCTCCTGCCTCAGTATCAATATCACAACTATTGTTTTTCCACAGAGCACGAGAAATATTAGACGAAGATTTCCAAGGTACAGAATGAATCGATCAATCAACAATAGGAACTTGGAACATGCTTCCCTCTCAAAGTCAGAAACTGTATTTCAAATGAGGTTGGGAAGGGCATTCCACCTTAGTTTTTCTATCCTCTCCTCTGAAAAGTATCCGCGCATATGGATTGGTGTGATGCTTTCCTTCAACATCTTGCGCTTCATGAACTATAACAGCAAGCAGACCTCCACCAGCTGGAGTTCCTTCAGGGGCATTCTGAACCGTGTTTGATTCGTCAAAACCCACAGGTATCTCCTCTTCTTTGAAAGGCTTATATGTAAGCTCCACCACAAGCTGCCCTCGTGATTTATCATTTATAGGATCATTAGGATCCATTGTTTTGAGGAGGTTAAGAGTCATCTCTTTTGGCTCGTCAGGGGGTAATTCCTTCAGTGGAATAACGTACATACCCATTTTTTCATGTTTGCCTACCTAGACAAGATACAAGACAGTTTCAGTATCCAGCGCATAACAAAAAAAAAAAGGAAAGATGAGTACCCCTAGTATCTCCACGTATCTCTACCTGCTCCCAATCATATACATTAAGTTCCAAGGCCTGTGACTCTGGATCTTTAACAACAAGATTGAATTCCTGATTCCACTCAGGGTTCAAGTTCCTATGCTTCACAGTGGTTTTCTTTGAAGGAAGCTTATCCTCCGTAAGCTTCAATTTCACATAAGGATCTGATGCACCCAGCAAATCTTTCTTCTTCAGCTTAATTGCCTTCACAACCTTCACATGCAGAATTCCTACAGGCCTCTTCATCGCCCTGCAAATTCAAATTTCATTAAATCAACCTAGTCATGATCACATATATGCATATCACATAAGCTCAGATGTGCATACTTTGTTAAGTCCAGTATCGGTATTTCAAGTGTCTTGGGCCAAAGATACATGTTCGCAACCTGATCTTTTATGAGCTCCTGCAGATAAGCATAAAAAAAATTTCTAAAAAATGAGATCGACATGTAGACACCCCATTAAATTCTGTCTCACAAAAAAAAGGCAAAAATTACACCTCCATGAACCTTGTTAAGAACATAAAGTTGACTAAGAAACAAAGAATGGTTGTATTTGATAAGTACAACGTACAAATACATAGAACAAGAACAACAAACGGCAACAACAAACAAGCTGCAAGATGTCACAAAGCCTTCACTAGGGTTACAACAACAAAAAGTAACTCACTTCATTACTTAGTCAAGTAAATGTCCCATGTCGAGATTAAAAAGCTCAAAGTCATGCATAAAATGTTGTCACCTGGTGTAGAAGTGGCGAAAGAAGACTTGAAAAACCACAGGAAACCTCAGAAGATATCAGCCTTCTACTCTTTTGCAAGTTCCTTATTAATGAATTAAACTTTAGTCCTCTGACCTTATTTACCTATCTGTTTTTTTTCATTCCAACATGCAACCGGGAGTGCATACAGCAAAGAAATGCTAGCCATCTAGATCATCAAATAGTCACCGGTCTCTTTTCCTAAACATCACTTTGCATACAAAAACAAATAAGGGACAGGGTTCTGCTCCCCCACCCCCCAAAAAGGAAAAAAGAACCAACAGACGAGTTATTTTTTTCTCTATTTTTATTATGGGGGAGGAGGGAGGGGGGAGAGAGAGATTTGACCAAATGGGGTCATAAAATTTGTTAGGACATTATACAGCACCTGAACAAATCTATAAAGACCGGGTATTGACATGAGATCAGCACCAACGAGCTTCAGCCCAAAATCAACGTGTGGCTGCAAAAGAACAGATACTTCAGAGAGAAAGTCCAGACATAATTTAAGAGAAATATTATATGTACCCAATTATCTGCATGTTCACAACAAAT